CACACGAAATCCTCTCCCAAGAACCTAGCCAAAGAATTCCCCATCACCAAGCTTAGGGAGGATCGATTGGAAGGAGACCTTGAGGAAAGATCCTAGCAAGTTGTGAGAAGTTTAATTAAGCTAAAAGGTAACCCATGTCTTACAAAACCTATTTTTCTTGCTATCTTTTATTTATTGGCTCCTACGAATGATTGTATGTGTGATCTGGTAGTTATGCCTTGATAGAGCTTGTCTTAGGGTTTATATTGTGATATTTTGATAATCTTGATGTTCTTGATGATCTTGTGTGGTTATTTGCATATTCTTGTGTTTATGTGTATTTAGAGCATGTCCTTAGGGTTTATATTGTGAATCTTGTTGTTCTTGATGTTCTTGGCATCCTTGGGTGGGTATATGCATGTTCGAGTGTTATTCAAGGTTTAGAGCTTGTCTTTAAGGTCTTATATGATGGGTTATTGATATTCTTGGGGCTCTTGATGCTCTTGAACAATTATGTGTTTGTCCTTGAGTCTTGGCATGTTTAGAGTTTGCGTTTAGAGTTCAATGGTGTTGTTTATTGGCTTATTCTATGTGTTCAAGTCCCTATTGTTGTTGATATGTGCTTGGGCGTGTTTGGACTTGATTTTGGGTAAAATTCATGAATTCCCGGGATGGGAAAAATGCCAAGAAACATATGTTCCAGCGGGTACTCGGTGGGGGGATGAATCCCCACTCGGCCACCCGCCGGAGCTGGCCACCGTTCCTGCGGGTGGACTGCCCGCTGGAACAGGGCAGCCCGCCAGCAGGCAGTCCGGCGGGAAGTTGTCCTCCCGTTGTGCCGCCCGCTGGTACGGGCGGTGGGGTGTTTTGTTGGTCTCCGTTGGTCGTTTCCCTGTGCCCTGTTGTACCCCATTTGGCTTTTGTAAGTCTAGTACGATGTCTTAAGTGCCGTAATATGAATTTGTGAGTCGTGTCTATGCATGTGGTCTAAACTCGTATCCTGTCGTGTCGTAGTATGGTCTTTAACGTTCTTTATGAGTCTTGTGGTCGCCTTGAGGTCACTTGTTGTTGAGAGTCAATATGCATGATGTGCCCTTCCCCTGATTATCCCCTTATGAAGTCATTGTCGAGTCTTGTTTATTGTGTTGTTGTCCATGATGAAAAAAGATATGAGATTGGTGGAAAAGATATGATTGGTGGTTTGTTGCACTGTGCGTGTTTGTGTGTGATGGTGTTGTGGTACCTGTGTGTGATTTAATGGCACCGCGGGTGCTGAGAGATTGGTGGTTATGTAGGAGGTCATGTAGGCGGGGAGCATGCGGTGCACTGGAGGGATAAGGATGATGGTGTGTAGGGTGGCCTGGAGGTACAGGTTGGAACTGATATAAGGTTGGAGAGGCGTAAAGGTTGGAACTTGGTATAAGGTTGGAACATGGACGTGTTTGTTGTTGTTATTGTTGTTTGTTATTGTTAAGTTTTATTGTCGTCTTGTCTTGTGGTCATAGTTCGCATGCTTGTGTCTTTATGTGTCTTGTCGTGTCAAGTCTGTTGGTGTGCCTTGAGTCTTATTCCTGGTTTTAAAGTTAGAGTTGTTTAGGACTATATCTATGTATTCCCAAGTCTCAAAATGGTTTCCTATATTTATATACTTATTGTACTCAACGGGTGGGAGTGGGTTGCTTAGCATTATTCGCTAACAGTTGCTATACCGCATGTTTTTTAGGTACAGATTAGTTGGCTCGTGAGCACGCTAGTCGGAGTTGCGGTTCCTAGTTTAGATAGTAGCTAGCTTTAGTTGATGGCCTGTGAGCCGCTTTTGTATTCAGATATTATTTATGGATTATGATCAGTTAGTTAGTAGCCTGTGCATCTAGGTTCTCTAACCTAGATGTGGCATAGCACCCCAACATTTATGTTTAGCTTCCGCCTATTTGGGATATTAATGATAGACTTGCTCTTATTTTGTAAGCTTTAAAGGTTTTAAATTATGTCGAAAATTGGGGGGTGTTACAAGATATGCGTTAAAAAGGGGTACAAGCGTAATTTCCTCTCCCCCTATCTCTCTAGAAGTTACAACTGGAGGGGCTGGCCGGAAGAATAATGAATGAGTACCGCGTCATCATCAAACACCGCCTTTGCAGGACCCGTCATTGTGCCGGTGATTCGCATAATCATTAGGAGATGATTTCTCGGAAGAAAATAATGGCGAAGACGGTGAGGGGCCGGCTATGAGAGGAGGAGTGGGGTTTTGTTGTTGCTGAAAGTTTTGCGGCGATGGCGGTGATTAGGTGGAGGTTTGGACATGGCGGAGTTTGTGCTTGGTTCTTGATTTTCTATTCTGGAACCAATAGAAGACTTTGGCGTCGTTGACTTAACCGTACTCTTGGAGTTTAGCTCTGATGACCAATTTTGAAAAATCACAATAGTCGGAGGACCATTGCTGGAATTAACTCTTACTAAATAACTTTGAGTTTATAAGATGTAACTAGGCTTTTTTTACGTGCTTTGCGCGAATAGGATAATGCCCAATGATTATTTTTAAATATGTATTTCAAATATATCAATGCAATATTATATAGGAGATGTTTATGCATAGGTAAATAAATGTTGAATTTGTTTATTTAAATCGGTAATTTAAAGTATATAAATTCAAGATAATATGTGAGAGATTGATTATAATTGTCACTAAAATAAATGTTTGCAACTTTGTAATAACGCTGGTCTAAATACTTAGTTTAAAGTGATAGTCTAAATAAATACTACTTTTGGATTAAATTTCACTAATTCTTCTTAATTCTCTGTCATTGTTTTCATCTTCAGTACATGTCCTCTCTTTTTTTTTTTTTTTTTTTTTTTATTGGTAGTGTGTCATGTGCAATTAGGTTATTGGTGGCAACTTAGACATGCAATGAGATTATTGATTTATGGTGTAGGAAGCTTTAGATTTGTCTTTCTGTGTATATGACTGGGATTTTAGTTGTAATATGAACTCTTTATCTTACAAACACATATTGATATTTAGTAGTGGTAGTTTTTCTCCAACATGTTTCATGTGTTGTGAAATGTGTGTCGTAGGTTATCATGCGAAAGTATTGAAAAAAATATTAATATTTATTATATTTGTATACAATATTTGGTAAATAAATATATATATATATATATATATATATATATATATATATATATATATATATATATATATATAACATGTTTTGTATTATAACTTTGATATTTAATTACAAGATAATGTAAAAAGAAGACAATGGACATTGTAGTAAATATAATAAATTAATAATTTTGAAGGTAAGAAATCTTTGAATTGTAGAAAATAAAGATAATATAACTAATGAAATTATATTTTTTTAAATTTTTTTATAATGAATAATTTTTTTTATAAATAAAGCATTATAGACATCTAATTCTAAATTAATTAAATGCATATGCATTATTTTTTGTTGTAGCTACTAATTTATTTATTTTAATAAGAGTAATAAAGTGTCGTGCATACTTTTCATCAAAATAATGAAATCAATGATTTTTTTTTTTTTAAAAAAAATGCATTCCTTGTTGAGACAAATTGTTTTGAGAGTTTGTCAATGACAATTGCTACAATTGCTGTCAATAGAGGATGATAATAAATAAATCAAAATATATGGTTACAATAGATATTGTTATAATGATATAGTAAAAATTAAGTTACAAATTTCTTTAGAAGTTTTCATGCATTAATAAAATTCTAATGTGTAAACTTGTTCAATTGGAGCTAGTAGGATGTTAACATTGTCAATTATTTGAAAAAGGGTCTTACCGTTTTAGAGTCCATGTGTAATTGTATTTATGATAAACAACTTTCTAGTTAGGCCGCAAGTCTGACAATGATGTAAGAACAATTTTGTCCAATCAAAAAAAAAAATAATAGTATAATATTTGTAAAGTAATGTACAATTGTACAATTGTACCATTATAAAAAAAAATACAAAAAATATTCATACCATAATGACCTAAATCATTCCAATAATGCAAAAGCATAATTGAAATATTAAGTTTTGTTCTAAATAATCAAAAGAATATTAATTAAATGTATAAAAAACAAAAAAAAAAAAAAAAAAAACAAAAACAAAAACTTAACCTAAATTTGTTTTTTTTTTTTTTAAATTCAAGAAAATCAAATGATTTTTAAAATTCCGGATTTATAATCTTTGATGCTCAACTTTGAATGCTATGTATTTAGTCAGACTAATTATTTGACTAAAGTTTATGTTAAATTTTATATTATATATTTTTAATACATTTTAACATATTCATAATATATGTTTAACAATTATGTCAACTCTAATTGGGTTGGAGTTTGAACCTAAGACATTTCTTATATAAATTAGTGAGTATGTTAAGAATAATAAATAGTTAACGGAATATTCCGTTACTAAAGTTTATACTAACGGAATTTAAGGTTATTTAAGGGAAGAAAATAATATAATAGAGGGTAAATAAGGAAAATTATTAAAAAAAAAATACTAAAATCAAAATAATATGAACCATTCATTTTAAGAAACAACTACTATCGGCATTTTTTTTTGTTCAGGTCTAAGATTATGGGCTCTTATTAGATTTGTAGATTTGCTTCAATTTTGTTAAAATTATGTTTTATGTAATCTATTTTTAATTAATTTATATTTAATAATAGTTATGAAGTTACTCTCCGAAACGGGAGGTGATGGATTTGAGCCTGGGACATAATTGATTCTTTGTATTTTAGTAAGTTTGAAAAAGTAGCTATGAATAAATACTACAAAGTAACTAGTACTAAAAAAAACAAAATAAAGAGAATTGAGTTCTACTATATGTGCTTTCAAAAAAAAAAAAAGAATTCTACTATATGTATTTGACAAATTTTGATAAGTTATGTTTTTTCATGTGAGCCAAATACAAATTTCAATATCAAGATTTTATATTTAAAATTAAAGTTGAGAGTACAAAATAAAATGAAAGTATATATATCATTTTCCAGCACATAAAATAGCGCAAGATGGGAAACAAATTGCTGCACCAAAAATGGCGCATGAAACAGCAAAATTTTGCCGCAATACCGTGTTCAAAAATCACACCATTTTAGCATTTTGCTGAGTTGGTTGGAGATGGCCACGCCGCTTCTCTCTCAGTCTCTCTCTCGCTCGCTCGCCTTCTTTTCCACCTGCCCACACTATCTCCGTAAATCATTTCGTACAGAATACACACATAGCCTTGAGGGGCCTTCGGCGTCGCAGAAGAAAAAAAGAAAGAATAAAGGGAAAAGAAGATTCATTTGCAGTGGAACAGAAAGAAAGGTCTAATTTTTTGCGGCGTGTATAGGTTTACTAATGGCGGGTGGGTATAGAGCGGATGATGACTACGATTACTCGTACAAGGTGATGTTAATAGGGGACTGTGGTGTGGGAAAATCGAATCTGCTTTCTCGATTTACCCGGAATAAGTTCAGCTTCGAGCCAAAGTCAACCCTTGGCGTCGAGTTCGCCACTCGCACGCTTCGTGTCGACGACAAAGGAGTCAAGGCTCAGATTTGGGATACCTCCGGCCAAGAAAGGTATAATTCCTTTACTTTGCTGTTTGATGAGATAAATAAAGATGGGGGATTGAGTTACTGTTTGATTATTATGTACAATTTTACACTGCATTGCCAAGCTATATGGCTTTGAGATTGCTAGGGGTTTTGGATTGGGGGTTGTAAGTGATTAACAAAATTTCTTCCTTTGGTACTTGATGAGGTTGTCTGATCATTATGTGCAGTTTAGCTGTGAATAGGGCTTTTGAATTGGCAGTGATTAGTAATCCATAATAGTATAGTTTTCCCCATTGTTAAATCTTTACCTTGTTTATTCTAACATATATTGGGGGCAAGTGCCCCACATGCAGCTGGTTCCTTCTTGGGTGGTAGATTATGGGCAAGGACGCAGGGTCGGGTTCTGGTAGTCTCAATGTGGGAGTTACACCCAATATGTGGGTTCTTGTGGTCACCCGTCACTGGTCTTCCTACATAATGGGTTGTTAAATCACAGTGATTTACCACTCCACTATCCTTTTGAGTCAGGGTGTGAGGGCCCTGGGGGCGAGGGAATTTCGTCTTTGTGGGCAAGGGGGTGGAGTGGGGTGAGGAGAAGGTTTAATCATTAATGTCTGACTGGAGTGCACTGTGGATGATGCATTATAGTACTTGCTAGAAAAGGTTGATAGATTTGAGTAGATTTATAATATAGATTACTCGGGTGGCATTTGTGGAGGGTGTTCTTTTGGGAAAGAGCTATGACTTCAAGTCTGACTTTTAGATGTGAATTGAATTTGTTGGCGATTCGTTAATTGAAACTTGGATTTCTTTCCTAAGGGAAGAGCTTTGTAATAATGAAGTAAACTTATTTCTAGTTATGGAATGACTGAATTTTTGAAATTTGAGGATTGGACTTTGAATAACTAAAGAAAAGTTCTATATTTGGTGGTTTGTAATTTGTATATAAGATAAAAGTCTAGAAGAGTTGGACTTGCTTGAGGTCCCAACAAGAAGAAGATTGCACACAAATTAAGTTCCCTATTAGTTTGCTTGCACTTTGCAGTTGGATAGGTTTTATTATTTACCTAGGTAGCAGATTGTGCACTTAGGTTTTGTTATTTAATGTTGCGGTACTGCTTATGCTTGTTCTCTGGTCTTTCTTTGCGGTTCTTCCTACTTTATTTATTACTGAACGTGCAACATGGATTATGCCTTATTGCCCATGATTTAGAATTTGTTTTGAAGTTAGGAATCTTAAATAATAAATACTAATTTCAAATACTTATATTTGTATCATAATGAGATATACAGACCATAAATGATGATTAGATTGCTTGTTCTTTCCCCTTTTGTTGTGTGTTGAAGATACCGATTCATCACAAGTGCATACTGCCGAGGAGCTACTGGTGCATTGCTTGTATATGATGTTACCCGCCATGTTACATTTGAAAATGTAGAGAGGTGGTTAAAAGAGCTACGGGATCACACAGATCAAAATATTGTCATAATGCTGGTGGGAAACAAGGCAGACTTACGTCACTTACGTGTTGTTTCTACCGAGGATGCAAAGGCCTTTGCTGAGAAGGAGGGCATCTACTTTATGGAGACATCAACTCTCGAGCCATTGAATGTTGAGAACGCCTTTATGGAACTACTCACCCAGATACACCATGTTGCCCATCGAAAAGTGCTTGAGGTAGGGGATGAAGACTACGATTACTTGTTCAAGATGGTGTTGATAGGGGACTCTGGTGTGGGGAAATCGAACCTGCTTTCTCGATTTACCCGAAATGAGTTCAGCTTCGAGCCAAAGTCAACCCTTGGCGTCGAGTTCGCCACTCGTACGCTTCGTGTTGACGACAAAGGAGTCAAGGCTCAGATTTGGGATACCTCCGGCCAAGAAAGGTATAATTCCTTTGCTTTGCTGTTTGATTATGTACAATTTTACGCTGCATTGCCAAGCTATATGGTTTTGAGATTGCTAGGTGTTTTGGATTGGGAGTTGTAAGTGATTAACAAAGTTTCTTCCTTTGGTACTTGATGAGATTGTTTGATCATTATGTGCAGTTTAGCTTTGAATAGGGCTTTTGAATTGGCAGTGGTTAGTAATCCATAATAGTAGAGTTTTGTTGCGGTCCTGGAAATCTATGAACGCGTCATTGGGCGACGAAAGGGGCTTGAGGGACGAGCCGGGGGAACAGGTGCTGATGATTTTGATTTCCCTATGATTGCAAAAGGCAAAAGAAACAAGAAAAAGAGAAACAGGTTGAAGAGTTCTGGAGTTCTTCCTCTCCCAAATGTCATTAGACAATTCTCAAAGTTCAAAAACCGATCCTTATTCTCAGCACTTCTAAACCAATAAATACCTAAGACCCAACGTTAACTTAAACGTACACTTCCACAAAATTAGGACTTTTAAAACAACTTAACAAACTAAAAGAAAATAAACAGGAAAAGGACTAATATAATTAGTTTTAAATAACTTAGCTTCTTATTGCCTGCGTTTGTAGTAAGTCCTTCCTATGAATGCATCAAGTTTCCCCCATTGTTATATCTTTATCTTGTTTATTGTAACATATATTGGGGGCAAGTGCCCCACAGGCAGCTTAGTTGGTTCCTTGGGTGGTATATTATAGGCAATGACGCAGGATCGGGTCCGGGTAGTCTCAATGTGGGAGTTACACCCAGTATATGGGCTCCTTGTGGTCACCTGGCACTGGTCTTACCACATAATTGGTCGTCAAATCACCATGATTTATCACTCCATGACTCCACTATCCTTTTGAGTCAGGGGGCGAGGGAATTTCGTCTTTGTGGGCAAGGGGCAAGGGGGTGGAGTGCGGTGAGGGGAAGGTTTAGTCATTAATGTCTGACTGGAGTGCAGTGTAGATGATGCATTATAGTACTTGCTAGAAAAGGTTGATAGATTTGAGTAGATTTATAATGTAGATTACTCGGGTGGCATTTGTGGAGGGTGTTCTTTTGGGAAAGTGCTATGACTTCTTCAAGTCTCGACTTTTAGTTGTGAATTGAATTTGTTGGCAATTCATTAATTGAAACTTGGATTTCTTTCCTACAGGAAGAGCTTTGTTAATAATGAAGTAAGCTTATTTCTCGTTATGGAATGACCGAGTTTTTGGAATTTGAGGATTGGACTTTGAATCACTAAATAAAAGTTCTATATTTGGTGGTTTGGTAATTTGTATATAAGATAAAAGTCTAGAAGAGTCAGACTCGCTTGAGGTCCCAACAAGAAGAAGATTGCATGTTAGTTTGCTTGCACTTTGCAGTTGGATAGGTTTTATTATTTACCTAGGTAGCAGATTGTGCACTTAGGTTTTATTATTTAATGTTGTGGTACTGCTTGTTCTCTGGTCTTTCTTTGCGGTTCTTCCTACTTTATTTATTACTGAACTTGCAACTTGGATTATGCCTTATTGCCCATGATTTAGAATTCGTTTTAAAGTTAGGAATCTTAAATACTAATTTCAAATACTTATATTTGTATCATAATGAGATATATAGACTGTAAATGACGATTGGATTGCTTGTTCTTTCCCCTTTTGTTGTGTGTTGAAGATACCGAGCCATCACAAGTGCATACTACCTAGGAGCTATTGGTGCATTGCTTGTATATGATGTTACCCGCCATGTTACATTTGAAAATGTAGAGAGGTGGTTAAAAGAGCTACGGGATCACACAGATCAAAATATTGTCATAATGCTGGTGGGAAACAAGGCAGACTTACGTCACTTACGTGCTGTTTCTACCGAGGATGCAAAGGCCTTTGCTGAGAAGGAGGGCACCTACTTTATGGAGACATCAACTCTCGAGTCATTGAATGTTGAGAATGCCTTTACGGAACTACTCACCCAGATATGTCATGTTCCCTGTCGAAAAGTGCTTGAGGTAGGGGATGATGACTACAATTACTTGTTCAAGGTGATGTTGATAGGGGACTCTAGTGTGGGAAAATCGAATCTGCTTTCTCGATTTACCCGGAATGAGTTCACCTTCGAGCCAAAGTCAACTATTGGGGTCGAGTTCGCCACTCGCACACTCCGTGTTGATGACAAAGGAATCAAGGCTCAGATTTGGGATACCACCGGCAAAGAAAGGTATAATTCCTTTGCTTTGCTTTGCTGTTTGATGAGATAATAAATAAAGATGGGAGATTGAGTTACTGCTTGATTATTATGTACAATATTACACTGCATTGCCAAGCTATATGGCTTTGAGATTGCTACGGGTTTTAGATTGGGAGTGCTAAGTGATTAACCAAGTTTCTTCCTTTGGTACTTGATGAGATTGTCTGATCATTATGTGCAGTTTAGCTGTGAATAGGGTTTTTGAATTGGCAGTGATTAGTATAGTAATCCATAATAGTAGAGTTTCCCCCATTCACCGTTGTTATATCTTTACCTTGTTTGTTATAACATATATTGGGGGCAAGGGCCCACTTGGGTAGCTCAGTACCCTCCTGGGTAGCTGGATGTGACACCCAATTTGGTAGGCTTCCAGTGGGTCCTCCCATCTAATGGAATTTCGTCTTTGTGGGCAAAGGGGGTGAGGGGAAGGTTTAGTCATTAATGTTTGGCTGGAGTGCACTGTGGATGATGCATTATAGTACTTGCTAGAAAAGTTTGATAGATTAGAGTAGATTTATAATGTAGATTTATTTGTGGAGGGGTGTTCTTTCGGGAAAGTGCTATGACTTCAATTGATTATTATAGGAATAGGAATGATTTAGAATTTGAAATACCTTATATTTGTATGATAATGAGATATATATATAGTGTAAATGGCGATTGGATTGCTTGTTGTTTCCCCTTTTGTTGTGTGTTGAAGATACCGAAGCCTCACAAATGCATACTGTGAAGGAGCTGTTGGTGCATTGGTTGTATATGATGTTACCAGCCATGTGACATTTAAAAATGTAGAGAGGTGGTTAAAAGAGCTACGGGATCACACAGATCAAAATGTGGTCGTAATGCTGGTGGGAAACAAGGCAGACTTACATCACTCGCGTGCTGTTTCTACCGAGGATGCAAAGGCCTTTGCTAAGAAGGAGGGCACCTTCTTTATGGAGACATCAGCTCTCCAGTCATTGAATGTTGAGATCGCCTTTACGCAAGTACTCACGCAGATACATCATCATCTATCGGCCATGCCAAAGGGGGAAACCATAAACGTTGGAGGGAAGGATGGTGTCATCGCCTTCTGCCCTTCTCAAATTTAGCCTCAACTAACTGCATAGTCTCTTATCCTTCCTTTTTTCTGATCTGGCGTGCTCATGTTTTGCTCTGAGCATAGCGTTTCATTTGTTCGCTGCTCGTTTTTCCCCAAACCCAGTGAACTGTGTTGAATTTTTTTTATATAGCCAGTTCTTCAAACCTGGGTGGCAAATGAACATTGTATTTTCTTTGTTCCCCTATGATTGATTATTACAAGTTACATACTACTATTTTTTTTTTTTTTTTTTTTTTTTTTTGGGTATTGCTAGCGAGTTCTGACTCATCTTCAGTTAATGTAAGATTTAATATTGGAATATTCTTTCAATGGTCTTGTTCGCCAATTGCCATTACTTGAACATGTACACTAACTAGAAAAGTATAAAGCATACTAAAAAGATCATTTTTTTTATAGGCTTGACTGAGAAAGTGTTGACAAGAATTAAATCTAATTACGAATAGGTATCATAGATTATAATCTAAATGATGCTAGTCCATACTCATCCTTAAACATTATAAAGCTCATGACAAACAAATGCAATTCAGAAGAACATTCACAACACGTGATACAAAGCGATCGCAAAAGAATCAATGAATGTATCTTTGATACACCATATGCATATCAACAGCAATTTTGATACAACAACTACTATGCACAGTTCAAACCCAAATGAACCTTTGGAATTCTATAGTCTGTACAATCCCAGGGGGTGGGGGGCGGGGGCGAGAGATACATGCCCAAGAAGATTAAATGTCAGGTGACTAGTTTTGGCTGCTAGCCACATCTCAGCAGCAAAGTATATACAGAGTTATATGGTACAGCTTTGGACAATTGTTCCAGCCTTCTCATTGGGCAATAAATACTTAGATATGAAAACAAAAGTTGTATATGTTTCTTACAGAGGCGCCGATCAACAACCTCAACTCACAACTCCGTTTTTCCTGGCGTCACAGCTGTGGATTTGCATATTGGACAACTGTTCTTCACAACCAACCACTTCTTTATGCAATCTACATGATATTCATGCCCGCATGAAACAATTCCAATCTTTTCTTGGTCTTTGTAATCGTTCTGAAAAAAACCAAGTAAACAATGTTGTAGACTGCCAGAACGTGAACATGGTAATGAAAACATCAACCAATTGTCATAATTATGAAAATATGATAAGTTCATGTGTGTGCAAAGTTTTTGCATGGGAAGGAATATGAGAACTAAGAGCCCTTCAATCTCTTTAATGCTTAAGAATTTATGTCCACATGGAAAGTATAGGGGGATAGTGGGGCGATACCTGGCATATCACACAAAAATCAGTTTCTTGGTCCAAACATTCTGTACTGTAGGGATTAGAGGAAGTGAATGATCTTGTTTTCAAAAGGCTTATAATGACTTCCTCTGACAACCCAGTAGTTACACACCCAATCTGCTCTCCCAATGCAAGAAGCTCCTGGGAGATAAATATTCAAGGCTTTGAGGCTTGCTTCATTATAAATTCACAAGTAACACAAAATTAGGTAAACCAATTCATTTTTACCTCATAAGACATGTGATCTATGTCCAATCGCATATCTCTGTGCTGATCAATAGAATCCCCTACTTCATTGTACTCAGGAATCTCTAAAATCGCCACTCCCTGCATAAAATTCACTCATGCTGTGACTTGTCTGTTCAGTATAAAGTATAAAAAGAAATTATATTGTTTCAATATCAAATATTACATCTTCTGGCAGAACTCTCATGTTAGGAATGTTACGATTTCTCGCAATATTTGTATCAACCACAAAATCCCTTCTATGAGGCCTGTATAGTCTAAAGCCAGTAGGTGGGAAAGGTCCCATATATCTAGGACCCGCCTCAACAACACCTGGGAAAGGACTTATGCTGCTGCTTGAGGGGCCATTTGTTACGAGTCTGCGTGAAGATGATGATGCCATTTGAGGAGGGAAGTTGATATTATGACCTCCCATCCCCTGTATGGATTGTGGATGATGATGAACGCTCGGAAATCCTTGCGCAATAGGGGGATGCATATAGCTACTCAAGCTCCTATTGTTAGCTGTTCCTTGATAACCTTGTATTCCCATGTTTCCAGTCTCCACACAACCTCCCATGCTTCCTGTAGTTGGGAAAAAGGAAAACGAAGGACGCAATTTATTTAAACACTAATGTGTTAATATTTACACCACAATCAAACTAAAATATAAACATGGTTGTCAGACGTAAAAGAGTTCTACTATGCATACTCCCTGAGGTGGCAAACAAGGATTGATTATTTTCATCATGTGGGTCCACAGAAAAGTGTCTACTTCAAGAACATGTGAGAGGGAGTAAAAGTTTGGAGTATAAAATGGGAGTCCACCAAGTATTTTCCGACGTAAAATTACGGGAGGTTCATGCAGGATAGTCAGATATTAAAAACAAACATAACAAGAGGTAGCTTGAGCACAAACCCAAGATACAACATACCCAGAAGAAAACAATTACAAGAGCAATAGAAATTACCATGCACATAAGGTAAAAGAGCAGCCTGATTACCATTCAGCTGCATGTCCAACCAAGGATTGGCAGGAGGCAATGGAAATGCTTGGCCCACATAGCTTCCTTGAATAAAGCGATTACTGCTATGTGCTGTTATGGTTTCTTGAGCACTAACACCAGATCTGTTCCTCAGGCTTCTCTGAGATACATCTTCAGTCAACAAGGATGAATCGACATAATCAGGTGGGATTCGTGAGGCAACATCCACCAAAGGAGTATCAGCTTCATGTACTCTTGCAATCACTGGGGCGACTGCAGAACTAGAACCCACCATAGAATGATGGTACTGGAAATTCATGGGGATTCCTTCAGCATTCTTTCTCTTAAATAAGCCTCTAACACCATCAGCATAAGGGATATTCCTTCCATAACCATCTGTGTGAATTCCAACCACGCCTTGAGCGGTTGTGAATGGGAGATGATCATGTGCTCCATGGATTACAGGAGTTGGGAATTCTCTAGTAGCAGGAGCAGCCACATAAGGATTATAATGATTGGAAGATGTAGCCATAGCTATGTCAAGGTTTGTTGCAGGACACTGATGAATAGTGCCATTATAATGTGTCATCCCATAAAATAATGGATTTTCATGCTGTTCTGGCAGCGGATGCAGATAGGTATTACCAGCATTTCCTGACACTGGTACTACAGTATGAACATTAGGCTGCGGAAAAGTTGGTAAATTCCCATAAAAGACACAAGGATCAGGGAGAATATGGTGTTGCCCTTGCTGGTCTGCTTCAAAATCAATCATATGACTGTTGTGTGGGGTATTCCTTTGCCCCATGTTGACAAATAAAATTTATTGGAAGATGCCTGCTAGTAAGAAAGACTCAATGAGAGGCAATGAAGCTGAATCAATATTCACAAAATTCACACAACAAAATAGATATGAAACCCATCAACAGAAATATTGCATCATGTTTAGTTAAAGGTAAAATAGGGAATTGGAAGGTAATAGGCCACTACATTTATTTGGTTGGTAAGTAAGTGAAGTGTAGTGCAATACTCTAGTTGCTTATAGAAAATGAAGTGCGTTTATTGATGACAGGAAGTTCTTATAAAATATCCTTCTCATAGCAAAAGAGAGATACCATTAATGGGAGAACCCTTTCATTTTGAAGGAATACTTTGGTATTTAAGCAAAAAGTATTTATTTAGATTGCACAATCAATCCAACCTGACTAAGCTAATAAATGATGCACAAGAGAGTGACCATCCCCTGCCCATCTAGGACTGCAAGCTGGGAACAATATGCAAATGAGTAAAGAGAAGGTATAAAAAAAAAAAAAAAAAAAAAGAACAGCTTTTTACTGACTTCTTAAAGAAAAAATGGAGAACTTTTCAATTGGACTTCTCTGCCACTTGGATGTAAGAAATCAAGGAGGAAACTGAGTTTTAAATATCTAGAAACTGTATGGAAAATTTTGCTAAAGAGACTTGGTCCACCTAAAATCATTAGAAGTCTAGGAAGATTATCCCTTTCGCTTACATGCAATTTTCGTCTTTAAGCATCCATCATTTTGGCAAATAAATTTTTCTGAGTTTATCTTTTAACTCATACTTCATTCAAAAGCTGCTCTAAGGATGCAGCAAATAGCCAAGGTTTTTGTCCATTCGCTACAATATGCTTTTTTGAGGTTTAATTCTGGCATAATAGTTAATGCTTACACATGTGCATGAAGCATTAAAACCAGTAAGGATAATTATCCCATCCACCCAAGTTCCACTAAAGCTAAAACCCAACACTGCATGACTATTAAAAATAATAATAATACAAACAGTTTGCTCACTCAAAGAAAAAACTTATATAAATATACATATTTCTGTGTCAAGTTTCTTTGATAATTCATAACTTGCCCTTTTAAAAAAATCCTTAATTTCAGTTAGATTCATGGAGCAATAAAAAGAAACTTATGCAAAGAAGCAAAGTTATTCCAACTAAGAAGATTTGCATATCTTCAATTTCCTAAGCTCTTAAAAATGGCTGATATGTGGAGAATCTGGGTCAATTTATTTAACTCTTTTAGTTCATTTTTGGAAGAGAAGCGCCACTTTCAGAAGTTTTCATAACTCCAAAATGAGTAATATTATACATTTAGAAATCCACATAATTCAAAAGCAGAACCCAACACCTGCCCTCAAATAAAATAAACAAAAAAAAAAATCATCTTTGAGCATTGTTTATATCCAGGATTCACAAACAATTGATATTCAAACCCAGAAATGATTAAATGATAAAACAAATAGGGAAAAACACAGATAAATACAAACAGAAATCTCACCTTTTTACCATAAACAAACAGATTGGCTTCCCTAGTACCGCCTTAACTCCCCGTTCCAAAACACAGATAAATAATCTGTAATCAGTAATCCTACAGAAATCCCAAAAAAAAACCCTAATTTGTCAGAAATTTGTGATCAATGATCAACAAAATCGCAATCAAACAAAACACAATTAAAGCTACTTCCTCCGAGACCCTAATGCAAGCATTCGAACAGAATAAACATATACATACATACATGTGCAGCCCAATTTCAGGAAAAAATCATCAAAAATGTAATCTTTTTCAAAACGGGTAAAATTTTAACAAAGTCCAGCTTAGATTCCAAACGGAAAGGAGAAAGAAATCTCCACAAAAATATTGTAGGGGGAGAAAGGAGATGAAGAGAGAGGTTCAATGGAAGATTACCTGTTGCCCTGTTGGTGTTCTTGGAATGCTTAGTATTATAATGCATATATTTTTTTAAGTAATAATTTGGTTTATATCTAAAACTGTATTTCTATATATGGTAAATAAATAAAACAAGAAAAACGAAAACCCTCACAAGAAGTTTTGGCAATAACATCATTAACATGTGCGTTTAATTTGAGGGGGAGAATTATGGGGAAAAAATTTGGAGTGAGAGAATTAAGTAAATTATTGTGTGGATCATGATTCACACATTGTTATGTGGAATATAATAAAATGTACACTTTTAATATATTAAAAATACATTATTTGTGTACTGAATGTACATTATACAAAATAATATATTTTTAGTACTTAAATAATGTACTTTTTTTTAATACAATGTACATTTTCAATATACTAAAAGTACATTACTTTTGTATTGAGGGTACATTATTTGATATTTGATAGTATGGTCTACATAGTTGTGCGGACCATGGGCCACACAATAATGATTGGAGGGAATTATGATATAGTGTTTGGTTGGAGGGAAGGAATATAGCTGTCAAAAAAGCTTAGCCTGCCGGGCTAGCTCGTCCCGCCCCGCCAAAAAAGCGAGGCGGACTTTGAATTTTATGACCCATATTTTAGCAGGCTTTTTAGCCCGCCCTTGCCAAAATAGCGGCGTTTTATGGGGGCAGACTTAGCGAGCCGACAGGGACTAACTTAAATACATTGCAAACTATGTATTATATTTGTGCTATGGAGTATTAGATTTGTGCTATAAACTATTATGTTTAACTCTTAAAGTATTGATTATTTGATTATATCTACCTGCGGACTAAGTATTATGTTTGTGTTATGAAGTATTAGATTTGTACTATAAGGTATTATGTTTAACGCTTAAAGTATTAAATACATCTAAATGCAGACGATGCATAATATTTGTGCTATGAATTATTATGTTTAATGCTTAAAATATTGATTAAAACAATATTTCACAAGAAAGCTCGAGAAAAGAACTTGTAAGCTTTATTCGAAACTTGAATTATCGGATGGTTGGATTGTTACAATATGAGCCCCATCGAGTGGTATTTATATTCATTCCACACCCTCAATGGACAACAGAGATCGAATTAATCATACAACTATAATTCTATCTCTAGAATCCTCCTTAAAATCCCATACAATTTTATGTGCTATCTCTAAAAGTTTCTAGAAGATTTTATGGTTCTCTAGCTCATTAGTGCTATGTATAAGGTTCTAAAAAAAATTTACGAACTTTAGAAAACTATGTACTAGTGTGAAAAATGTCTAGAATAATATAGCTAACCTCAAAAATGCGTAGCAAAGTGTCTCGGGCGCTATAGTCTTAATTTGATGTGTCTAAATTAGAACTCAACAAGTCAACCATATATAGATAGTAAGTTTTCTTGAATTTTGTGAAGATTCAATGCACCAAGTTTGGCAAAATATTTTCGTGGACTTCAATGATGTATTCTAGTGGTGACTTATGCATTTTGGGCAATCCTCATCAAGTTGGTTAGACAGTTTACTTGGTAACCACAACGTTCAAAGTTTGACTTTCTGTGGGATTGGTATATTAGCCTTCTTGATTTGAGTCAGTCAGTTATGGGCAACCTAGACTGGTTTTCCACCTTGAGCTAGTGAGCCAGTCAGCTATGGACAACTTAAGTTGGTTTACCCACCTTGTGGTCCTTTTCCAACTAAGTTTACGGGATAAGCTTCACACTGAGCGTACATTCGGATAACGACTACGAGCTTTATCGTAAATCAAAGATTATGCATTTTGAAAAAAAAAAATGAAAACCAAAACAGTAAAGATATATTACTGCATAAGAACAAAAATAAAGTGAGGAGGGACAGAGTCCCAGTACAACGTATTAGCCTAATAATAGGCTCTCGAAGCTAAAGAATGAGCTAAAACATTGGATGATCTAGAAATTAAAACGATTGAACAAGTATAAAAAGAGCAAAAGATATTCATGCAGTCGTTAGTGGCAATGCCAACATAAGATCGGACCTCTCTTGTTGGGGTTGTTAAGTTGTGGTGCAGAGAGGCACAATCAGTCTGGAGTGTAACTAAGCTTAAACCACGATCCTTCAACCAAGATAGTGCTTCTTTGCAAACCAATGTTTCCGCCACAAAAGGGCTTGAGCAACCTAAGAGAACTCTACTGGTAGCTGCAACAAAACCCACATATGGTGCGAGAAGAATAGCGCCGAATGTGGCACGCTCTCCCAGTCGAGGTGACATACCCGGTGTCAAAACTGCATGTGTGCGTCGCTGGAAGTGAGCAGTGTGGAGGAGGTGTTGTGTTTCCCTACGTTGCATGGGGTTGAGTTAAGAAATCCTAGGCCTGCTTTCCTAGCATAGCCAGATTAAATGCACGGAGATCATTGAACCCTAACCCACCAAATTTCTTAGGAACACACAAACGATCCCATGCCATCCAATTAATTCCTCCACCACCAGGCCAACTAGTACCCCACCAAAATCTGTTCATAGTTCTCTCTATTGCCAAACACAGGGAGTCTGGTAATAGAAAGACACTCATAGAGAATGTAGGCATAGCTTGGGCGACACTCTTAAGAATAATTTCCTTGCCTTCTTGCGATAGAAGTTTCTTATCCCATGCACCAATCCTTTTCTAATCTTGTCTTCAATATACGAAAAGACAGCCCTTTTATTTCTACCCACAAACGAAGGCAATCCTAAATATTTTCCAAAGTTCTCATCCTGAGTAACCCCTAACATATCACGTGTTACTCTCGTAGTATTCCTGCTAAAACAGATACTGGACTTGTGGAAGTTGATAATCTGCCCAGAGAGGTTCTCATACGTGCTAAGGCACTATTTAACCACGCATGCTTCCTGAACATTGGCTTTGAAAAACAATAAACTATCATCTACAAAGAACAAATGTGAGATGGCAGGGGCACCCCTTGCCACCCTACACCTATGGATGGCTCCCTGAGCCTGAGCCTGGTGTAGTAATATGGACAGCCCTTCAACACAGATAATAAGAAGATAGGGTGACAGGGGATCACCTTGTCGACCACGCGAGGGGAGAACCTGTCCACTGTTAACACCATTTATCATAATATCATAATATTGTATGAAACAATAGTGACACACATCATCAACAAATCCACCCATCCTTCAGCAAACCCCAAAACGGTACCAATGCATTTTGAAATTTAATTTCAATATTTGCCAAAACAATTATCTGGATAAATTTTATGAAAAATAACATGTTTTTCCCCGAATGATATGTTTGTACCATTTTTCCCTCTGAATTATTCATCATGCATTCATATTATCCACTTAATTATTGTGAGAGTGGCGATTTTTCTCCCCTTTGTTAAATGGGCGTTTGGACAAAATATGTATTTCAAGTCACTTTACTTCTCCAACAAATTATTGATTATATGTGAGAATCAAAATGAATGTGAAAAAGAACATACACGATTTATAATATAATTATAATTTTAAGCTAATACTAGTAACATAGTTAATATTTAAGCACAAATAATTCATTATTGCTAAATTTGCATTTAAGTTTTTTTTTTTTTTTAATAAACGAGCGAAATTTTATTAAATCGAAACCAAAGCCAAAATACAATTTGGTGGGTAGACGTCCCACACACTAAGGGCAGGGGAAGAACCAGTTGCCCGTGCAAGCACATGAGCTACATGATTCACTGATCTCTTGACATGACGAACCTTAATGGTCCCTATGTCACTAGCAATCAAATGACATTGCTTCACAATCTGATCAACATAAGAAAAATCCTGACACTACGAATTAAAAGTAGAACAAAAATTTAAACAGTCGGTTTCCACAATGACATTATTAACAGACCGATTCTTGAGCCAAGTGAGGGCCTCCTTCACAGCCATGGACTCGGCAAAAGTAGGGATCCTGACCAAAGTGTAAACGGCCACCACAAGCAGAAACAAATTTTCCTTCATGATTCCTCACCACAACACCAAAGCCTGCACCATTTTCCAGTAACGCCGCATCCACATTGCATTTCACCATTCCCATTGGCGGTGATATCCATAGCACTACTGGACGACACACTAGGAGTAATAGAATACACTTGCTGCCATGAAAGGACAAGCGACTCCACCTGCGACTTGAGCATATCTAGTGACTATATTTTATTATTCCATATCTTATCATTGCGATCCAGCCAGGTAGTCCAGAAACATGCAGCCAACAGCACTGCATGCAAAGTATTCGAATCTCTGAAAACAGAATCAAGAAAATCTCCAAAAGTTAAACCTTGAAGGATATCATCAAAATTCCAGAGTTGACATACCATTGGACATTCATAAAAAAGGGTGCATGATGGACTCAGTCTCAGCCACACAAAACTCACAGCCACCACCAGCCCACATTCCCTTAGAACGAAGGATCTCGCGAACCGAAAGAATATTCCTAGCACAACGCCATAGGAAATTTTTCACCTTAGGTGGTACTAGGAGCGTCCACAATCTCTGCCATTCCGAAAATACCAATATAGATTCTTGTATCATGATGTTACACGTTTGCATGTGATAACTATGTCGAACAGTATATTTTCCCTGTAGATCATCCTTCTAACACCACGAATCAGCATACAAAGGAGAAACCGGAGTATTGAGAATCTTTATCGCATCCTGCGCATCAAAAATATCGTTGATCAACTCCTCATCCCAATTCCCATCACTAGTCATCAGATTACATACCTTTGCTTCTCTCAATTCGTCAACACAACTTGTAGGGAGGTAATGATCGTTGTTGTCAGCCAACCAAGGCCAACCCCAAACATGCGTATCTTTGTCGTCCCCCACACGTCGGATCACACCATCTCATAGAACATTTTGTCCAGCGAGAATACTTCGCCAAACGTAACTTGGATTGTGACCAAGAGTTGCGTCCAGAAATTCCGACTTCGGGAAATATCTTGCCTTCATTATCTTACTTACCAGGCTATGAGGATTGACAAGGATGCGTCATCCTTGTTTAGCCAATAAGGCCACGTTGAACTCACGTAGTCTTTTGAATCCCATACCCCCATAACATTTTGGTGCAGCCATGCATGACCAACT